CACACTGCCCCCCCATACCACACACTGCCCCCCTTACCACACACACTGCCCCCCGCCACACACACTGCCCCCCATACCACACACACTGCCCCCCATACCACACTGCCCCCATTACACACACTGCCCCCATTACACACACTGCCCCCCATTACACACTGCCCCATTACACACACTGCCTCCCCATACACACACTGCGTCCCCATTACACACACTGCGTCCCCATTACACACACTGCGTCCCCATACACACACTGCCCCACAAACACTGTCCCCATACGTACATTGCCCCCCATACACACACTGCCCCACAAACACTGTCCCCATACACACACACTGCCCCCATACACACACTTCCCCACAAACATTGTCCCCATATACACACTGCCCCTCCATACACACACTGTCCCCATACACACACTGCCCCACAAACACTGTCCCCCATACACACACTGTCCCCATACACACACTGCCCCACAAACACTATCCCCATACACACACTGCCCCCCATACACACACTGCCCCACAAACACTGTCCCAATACACACACACTGCCCCACAAACACTGTCCCCATACACACAACCCCCCATACACACACACACTGCCCACAAACACTGTCCCCCATACACACACTGCTCCACAAACACTGTCCCCCATACACACACTGCCCCTCATACACACTCACTGTCCCACAAACACTGTCCCCATACACACACACTGCCCCACAAACACTGTCCCCATACACACACTGCCCCACAAACACTGTCCCCATACGTACATTGCCCCCCATACACACACTGCCCCACAAACACTGCCCCACAAACACTGTCCCCATACACACACACTGCCCCCATACACACACTTCCCCACAAACATTGTCCCCATATACACACTGCCCCCCCATACACAGTCTCCCATACACACACTGTCCCCATACACACACTGCCCCACAAACACTATCCCCCCACAAACACTATCCCCATACACACACTGCCCCACAAACACTGTCCCAATACACACACTGCCCCCATACACACACACTGCCCCACAAACACTGTCCCCATACACACACTGTCCCACAAACACTGTCCCTGACATACACTGCCGCACTCACACACTTCACCCTTAACACACACCACTGCTCCTATACCGTATATCCCAGCAGACCCCAGGTAAGTTGTCAAACTGTTCTTAAACGGTATGACTACTTACTCTGGGGTGGAATCCTGGCACTACTGACAACATAACTACTACACTGAGCTGTAGTGGTTATTGTGCCTGGATTATTTATTTAAATAATCTACAAGTGCCCCTCCCGAGATCAGGCTCTGGATCCGCCACTGCCTATATGGCACTTACTGGGCTTTAGGGTCAGTCCGGTCTCCCTAATCCGGTCTAGTACGGCTCCTATGTGGGTCAGGTGTTAGGGCCAGGAGCAGCTAAAATGGCTATATCTTCCAAGTAGGCGCAGGCATACTCCTGAAACCCATCCAGTAGCCGATCTACCCTCCTCTGAAAGTTAGCTGGGGCATTCTTCATCCCGAATGGCATGGCCTTAAACTGATACAGGCCATGCGCTTGCCTCCCGTGCCTGTGATCGCACCGATCACAAAGGTGGTGTCACAAACCTGCTCTACCACCTTGTATGGGCCCTGCCAGGAAGCCTGCAGCTTGTCCTTGTGGACAGTGTCAATCCATATCTGCCAAGTGACCCTATGTAGGGGGAATAGTCTCTATTCTGCTCTGTGTCAGTGTATATCAGGGATCCTTAGGATAGGTGTCAATCCATATCTGCCAAGTGTAGGGGAACAGTCCCTATTCTGCTCTGTGTGAGGAGGAGGAACGGGAAATGAGTAGCTCGGCATCCAACCTTGTGCAAATGGGGTCTTTCATGCTGTCGTGCCTGTTGAGGGACCCTCGTATAAAAAGGCTGAAGGAGAACGACCTGTGCTGGATGTCCACGCTACTAGACCCCCGGTATAAGCAGACAGTGGCGGAAATGTTACCGAATTAGTCTCTATTCTGCTCTGTGTCAGTGTGTATCACGGTCTCTGAGGACAGGTGTCAATCCATATCTGCCAAGTGACCCTATGTAGGAGAACAGTCTCTATTCTGCTCTGTGTCAGTGTGTATCATGATCTCTGAGGACAGGTGTCAATCCATATCTGCCAAGTGACCCTATGTAGGGGGACCAGTCTTTATTCTGCTCTGTGTCCGTGTGCATCATGGTCTCTGAAGACAGGTGTCAATCCATATGTCAAGGTGTCAATATGTCATATGTCAGGTGTCAATCCATATCCATTGTGATTTAGGAATGTTATGTGATTTATGCCCTTTATGGATTAAGACCAGACTCTGCATCAACTGTGTAATTTTCCATGGGAGTTTTGCCATGGATCCCCCTCCAGCATGCCACAGTCCAGGTGTTAGTCCCCTTGAAACAACTTTTCCATCACTATTGTGGCCAGAAAGAGTCCCTGTGTGTTTTAAAATTCGCCTTCTCATTGAAGTCTATGGCGGTTCGCCCCGGTTTGCCAGTTCGCGAACATTTGTGGAAGTTCGCGTCCGCTGTTCGCGAACCAAAAAATTTCGTGTTTGCGACATCACTAAAAATCACCCTTTCTGGAATTTGTTGTTAATCTTTCAATTGCCTGGAATTTGAGATTTGAAGCGTCACCTTGGTGGTGGGAGCGGACATGGTTGAAAATGGGTGTGCTGATGTTGGTGTTGGTTACGGAATTAACGTGTTGCAGTATGCGTCTGCAAAACTGCTGGTAGGTTTTTCCAACGTATTGAAGGTTGCACCTACATGTGATGACAGACTATTCTTGTAGTACTGCAGTTAATGAAGTCTCGTATAGGATCATGATTCATAGTTATTGAACTCTGCATAGACTTGGAAATAGTACAATATTGCTCACCTCATTCAGAGCCATTGAAAGCTGGTATAGTATAACCACTTGGGTGCCTGTAAAGGGGACACTACTCTTCTTTAGCAGCAGGTAGCAGGTGGAGACAGAATGGACTTAACCCCTTAAGGACACATGACGGAAATATTCCCTTTTATTCCAGAAGTTGTGTCCTTAAGGGGTTAAAAAAGGATTTATTAACTTTGTGATGTAAAAATACACATAAGTAAAATAAAAAAGAATGAATTTATCAAATCAAGTACAGTTCCAAAATGTCCTAAAGGGCTTCTTTGTCCGAGATGCGTTTCTCCCAAGCAGCTGGGCTTTCTCAATCGGCAATATATGTTTAGTTATAAAATATATATGCTTGATCATAATCTACCATTTCATAATTATCTACATAAGTTGCCAATAAGCTGTTAACGAAGTTAGTGTTGCCACATAGTGATGTCCCGAAATGTTCGCCGAACTGTTCGCGCGGACTCCAGTCAGCTGACACATTCCAGCCAATCAGCAGCAGACCCTCCCTCCCAGACCCTCCCACCTCCTGGACAGCTCACTAAGAATGCAGCTTCAAAATGGATGCTGTCCAGGAGGTGGGAGGGAGGGTCTGCTGCTGATTGGCTGGAATGTGTCAGCTGACTGGAGTCCGCGGCGAACAGTTCGGCGAACAATTCGGGACATCACTATATGCCACAATCACATTAAGGCTTTTTTAAACAGTATTTTTGACATCAATTTGTCCTAAACAAAACTTATGTCAAAGAATAAAGCTTAAACATGTAACAAAACAGGCATGTATCCAGAAATAGAAGACAAAATGTTTTGCTCACCTTGTCACGACTGACACTATTTCCTCTGAGACCACAGGAGGTATAGATCACATTCTTTGTTTTAGACCACATGCTCCCTCACCTGCACAGGCAGGATGCCCTCTTAATATACCCCTTGCCGGTGGTGCACTTATCCTTTGGGGAATATAGGACACTTTTTCTTCTTGGACATATCATAAAGGAATAGAAATTCAACATCCATCAATGAAGGACATCTCACAAGTTCTTCAGTCTGGCCTGTTCAATTAAACAAGAAATCAAGGAATACAGGATGCGCCAAAGTGGAAATATATTAGAACCAAGATAAATACAGTAAAATATATAAAATAATAAAATATTAAGAAATAATGTCCTTAAAAAAATATATTCTGTGCCAGGTAAAAAAAAAAAAAAAAATGTATGGTCCCAAAGCTGTTATTGTTTCTGAATCAGAGTTTTCATTTAAATGTTCCTGATAGTAGCTTCACTCAACATATGTCACATCCTGTTCCTAGCTGTGGATCATTCTGGCTATGGCTTATGGTATCCAGTACTCTTTTTACAATTCTTGTTTAGTTTTTCTTGTTTTTTTGGTTTTCTATTCTGACTGGTTTTCTTTATGCTGGGTTTCTGGGTTCATTCTTATATTCCGTCCCTGGAATTCCCAGTCTCCTGGATTAATTTACATGTTTGTTTTATGTTGCCACACCTGTTTGTTTTCCATCGTTCCTGCAGGCAGCTGCTCAAGGCTTCTGCCCTTTCTTGCAGGTAAGTGCTATATTTGTCATCTTTGGTTGTTTTAGCATACATTAGGCAGTGTAGGACCTGCCAGATATTGGGTACATTGGCATGTTGGCAGGCTTATGCAATGTATGATCATATAATGTGACTAAATCCCCATCATTTTCATATATAGTGCTTAGTTATTTCTCCTCTTGTTTTGCCTATCTTATTGTCACGGGTGGCGGTCCGGTGCCCAGACACTGTCCGGGCGGTGGTGCGTGGACCGGGACCCATGTATGCCTGATGTTCAGAGTAGGAGTAACAGTGTGGAGGTGGATTAGCAGGGTCTGGTGCAGGGTAACCGCACGCCCCCTGGTGTTGAGCACCAGCATTTGTGCAGCCACATACCAGAACCCTGATTCAGCTTATGCGGATCCCAGGAACTAGGAGCAGGTAATTAAGCAGACCTCCCAGGAGCTGAATAGGGAGGCTCTGCAGCAGGGATGTATCCAGTACTGAAGCAAGGCAAGACTAGGAGAGCAAGGCAAGACTAGATAGACACCATACATGAAAACAAGACAAAACTAGGAGAACAGGGCAAGACTAGAAATAGGCACCATACATGAAAACAAGACAAAACTAGGAGAACCCAGAACCAGAGCAGGACAGAAAGCAGAACCTAGAACATGTACACAAGACATGAGGAAAACAAGAGCATAACATGGGCATGACTGGACAGGACTGTACATGGACTGGGATTACAAGACAAAGTAAAACAAGACAAGAGATACAAGGTAAAACAAGAGGAAACATAGCTAAGCACTAATTATGAAAAGTATGGGGATTTAGTTACATTATATGATCATACATTGCACAAGCCTGCCAACAACGCTAATGTACCCCATATCTGGCAGGTCCTACACTGCCTAATATATGCTAAAACAACCACACTATACCACAATAGCACTTACCTGCAAGAAAGGGCAGAGACATGAAACACTGCTGCAGGTCCAAGCTGAAACAAAAGGAAAGTGGAAAACAAACGGGTGTGGCAACATAAAACAAACATTTAAGTGAATCCAAGAGACTGGGAAATCCAGGGACAGAATCTAAGAATGAACCCAGAAACCCAGCAAGAAAGAAAACCAGACATAGACCAGAAAACCAGAAAAACCAAGCAAGGACAGCTGCAAGATCCGCTCACCATTCCTGGTCTCTGCTTGGGAGCTGTTGGGAGCGTCTGGAGGTCGCTCCTTAGGAGGGGAGTTATGTCACATCCTGTTCCTAGCTGCACATCATTCTGGCTATGGCTTTTGGTATCCAGTACTCTTTTTACAATTCTTGTTTAGTTTTTCTTGGTTTTTTGGTTTTCCATTCTGACTGGTTTTCTTTATGCTGGGTTTCTGGGTTCAATCTTATATTCCGTCCCTGGAATTCCCAGTCTCCTGGATTCCTTTAAATGTTTGTTTTATGTAGCCACACCTGTTTGTTTTCCATCATTCTTTTTGTTTCAGAGTTCCTGCAGGCAGCTGCTCAAGGCTTCTGCCCTTTCTTGCAGGTAAGTGCTATATATGTCGTCTTTGGTTGTTTTAGCATACATTAGGCAGTTTAGGACCTGCCAGATATGGGGTACATTGGCGTTGTTGGCAGGCTTATGCAATGTATGATCATATAAGGTGACTAAATCCCCATGATTTTCATATATAGTGCTTAGTTATTTCTCCTCTTGTTTTGCCTATCTTATCTTGTCTTGTTTTAGCTTGTATACCCAGTCCATGTACAGTCCTGTCCAGTCATGCCACTTTTATGTTCATGTTTCCCTTGTGTCTTGTGTACATGTTCTGAGTTTAGCTTCCTATCCTTCTTCGGTTCAGGGTTCTCCTAGTTTTGTCTTGTTTTTCATGTTTGGTGCCTTTCCTAGCCTTGTCTTGTTTCTGTACTGGATACACTCCTGCTGCAGAGCCTCCCTATTCAACTCTGGGAGGTCTGCTTAATTCCTGCTCCTAGCTCCTGGGATCCGCTGAAGCTGCATCAGGGTTCTGGTATGTGGCTGCACAAACGCTGGTGCTCAACACCAGGGAATGTGCGGTTACCCTGCACCAGACCCTGCTAATCCACCTCCACACTGTGACTCCTACTCTGAACATCAGGCATACTGGGTCCCAGTCCTCGAACCCCCGCATGGACAGTGTCTGGGTCCCGGGCACTGGACCGCCACCCTGACAACATATTTATATAAAAAAGAGAAAAATACAGGAGAACCAAATAATGCAATATGTACTCAAATTAGGAACATACAACATATATAGAAAACACACACGAAATGCTCGGATATATTCCTCTTTAAAAGAAGAGAGGAAGATACCAAGCAAGCTGGTAAAGGTATAAATTATAAGTGCACATAATTATTATACCTAATAACTCTTAGAATCTAGAGCCCAAAAGACAGGAACAATGGGGAATAGGAACAGTTGTAGAGCCAAGCTGAATAAAATTGATACAGTGCATAAAAAGTATCTCTAGGTCCACTGAGAGAAGTAACAACTTTATTAACCTATTAAAGAGAAAGAGATACGATAGCAACTGTGTATCAACAAAGTGAAAATCACTGATTCCTATAATTACCTATAATCTCTAATCTTAATGCATAAATAGATCCATTGATCGAGATGCTATAGGTAAAAATCCCCTAAACAGTGCAATCCCTCCAGATGTATCGAATCAATAGAAAAATATAAACGCCGAAATGGTACAGTATGGGTCTATGGGGATATTAAACCAAATGCTTATATAGAGAAGGAATAAATAGAAACAGCAAGTGTCTACAAAGCGGAGAGAGGCAGCAGAGACAGGATATATAATCAAACCAAAGTCTGATGTAGCAAAAGGAACTAACTCCGTTCTAGTGCTATTTCCCTCACTTCTGCTAATAAACACCTTCGTGGGTGTTCTAAGCTAGGTAGTTGGTTATTACCCTCACTTCTGCTAATAAACACCTTCGTGGGTGTTCTAAGCTAAGTAGTGAGCTGAACACTGTTATCCTGTCAAATAAAGTGGAACTCTAAAAGCAAACTGCGGGCATTAGTGATTAGCAAGAAGTAATAATAGTCATAATCAAAAGGTGAGAAAAAGGAGGGGAGGGGGGGGGAAAGAGGAGAGGATTCCCTAGTGCATCGTGAGGTGTGCACAGTGATGTGCCAAAGTGCCGTGAGTGGGAGTCCCCTCAGAAAAGATCCGACGCGCGTTTCGGAGTAGCAAACTCCTTCGTCAGGGATAAGAATTGCCGCCCAAACACTCCCTGTATTTAAATCTCGAATAGCCAATCATCACATCGTTATTCATGACGTAACGCCCTATTCACTTCCACTCTGTAGGGGGGTGGAGTTAGTCATTATTGACGTCAGATGATTGACTGGCTGAGGATCCATCGTGTAAAGATGAACATTATGAAGTGTTAAACTTGTCTAGGACCCAACTACTTTATTACATAATCAAAAGGTTACCGTTTGCCCGTATTAGGAGCCATAGGTGGGATATATGATACAGTATTAAAAACTACAGCTCTATCTTTCCAAATATGTAATTGGAATAACGGACTATTTATATAAATCTAAAGTTAACACTAGAATATAGAAGGTAAGAGATGAAATTCATTTGCTTGAAATGTAGATATTCAAATTAAAAAAGAGATCATATTAACATGGCTCACATAATTTAGATAGGCATAGTTAGAATATTAGACCATTTAAATTAAAGGTAAAATTGCTATTCAAATTTATTTAGAAAATATATCATTCAGAGAGCTCATTTGTATTTAATAAGTGGAATATCTTAAAAGCCAAGAAATGGCAGCCATCTTAAGGATAGTTACATCTATCCATACATAGTGAACCCTCTATAGAGATTAACAAAATAGAAAAAAGGGGGAAAGAGGGGAGAGAAGATGGACGGCACTACACATAAAAATAGTGAAAATTCCCCCAAAAAGTGTATATACAGATAACTAAGATAGGTAGTAGACTATTTATAAGTGCACAAGAATTAAATATAGAGAAACTTCTAAATAAATGGAGAGTATGAGAAACCCTCATTAAGACCCTTGGGGGACAGGGTTTTAAGGCGGTAGATCCAGTAGCATTCACGTCTTCTCAGACGTTGATCCCAGTTGCCCTTCCTCTGGTCCTGTTTAATTAATTCGATGCCTTGAAATTTGAGGACATTAGAGTCCCCATTGTGAACTAATTTCACATGTCTAGAAACCGATGTTTCTATGTTCCTTACTGTTTTTATTGAATTTATATGTTCAAGAATTCGTCTCTTGAACGGTCTAAAGGTTTTGCCTACATACATGATGTTACATTGGCAAGTGATTAAATAAATCACTCCTTTTGAATTGCAATTAAAAAATGAAAGAGATTTGAAATTTTCTGTATTGGAGCTATTATTGAAATTTTTGGAGTTGGTATTAATATACCTACAGGCTTTACACCTGCCGCATTTATAGGTACCTTTAATTTTGTCTTACAGCCAATGTGTAGGTAATTTGTTAGGCTGAAAGTGGCTATGTACCAATAAATCTTTCAGGTTGTGGCCCCTTCTAGCTGTCAGAGTTGCATGGGGAGGGAGGACGTCCCTAAGATACGTGTCTTGTTTTAGTAGAGGCCAGAAGCGATTCATGATTGTTTTAACTTGATCCCAGCCGGCGTCAAAGGTGGCAATACACCCAAGTTGTTTTTGTTCGACTTTCAATGGTCTTAAGGAAGAGACTTCTTTTTCTCTTAGTAGGTCTCCCTGTTCAGTTAGGAGAGCCCTATGATACGCTTTCTTCAGGCATTTATTGGGGTATCCTTTGGACCTAAACATATGGCGCAGTTCTCTTGCTTGTATTTTGAAATCTTCCAAGTCTGAGCAATTGCGTCTTAAGCGTAAATATTGGCCCGTTGGTATTCCCCGTTTCTGCTGAGTTGGATGATGATTTTTCCAATTCAGAAGGTTGTTGGTCGCTGTGCTTTTCCTGAATAGGTTTGTTTTAATAATACCTGGTTCTTGTGGAGATACCACAAGATCAAGAAAGCTTAGAGACGGAGTGCCAATTTCGGCAGTGAATCTAAGATTCAATTCATTTATGTTCAGATCAAGTGTAAATTGCCTGAACTGATCCTCTGACCCAGTCCAGATGATTATAATATCATCTATGTATCTTTTCCATAGATATATGTACTGGGTCAGAGGGTTTTTAGGAGGAGATGTAAAGACTACTTGCTCCTCCCACCATCCCAGGTGCAGGTTTGCATATGAGGGTGCACAAGATGTCCCCATAGCAGTCCCCTGCACCTGATGATAGTACAATCCGTCGAACAAAAAGAAGTTGTGTGTTAAAACGAATCTTAACAAATCCAATACTAGGTCACTATGTTTGTCTAGGGGCGTCCCTCTCCTCCTCAGAAAGTATTCTGTATGTTTTATTCCCAAAGGGTGTGGAATTGAGCTGTATAGTGATTCTACATCCAAGCTACAGATGATAGAGTTAGGTGGTAATTTAGTTTGAGTCAGAACTGCTAGGGTTTGTTTAGTGTCTCTCAAATATGACGGAAGCTGTATAACTAGTGGTTTCAGAATGTGGTCCAAATAGACACTAACATTCTGAGTCATATTGTTATTACCAGAGACAATCGGTCTGTCTGTCAAGGTCTTCTGTTGTTTGTGGATTTTGGGTAGGCTATAGAAGGTCGAGATACGAGGACTATTGATAGCCATAAAGTTATATTCATCCTTAGAGATTAAGTTGTCATCTAAGCCTTGTTGTAAGATGCTTTTTAGCTTATCAGCGAATACTTTCG